TGCGTACAACAACAACAACAACAACAGCAACCCTAAGGGTCCAAGGACCCAAATAATAGGGTTCTTGGGCCCAAATGCCATTGATAAAATAGGGCCCTCAGACCGTTTTATTTGGGTCCTTGGACCCTTAGGCCTTAACCCTAAACCCCAAACCCCAACCCTAAACCCTAAACCCCAAACCCTAAACCCCAAGCCCTAAACCCTATACCCAGTGCCTCCTCCGCCACCCTCATGACCCGCTCCCCAGCATCGCGTCCGGCCTGCAGGCTCGAGGGGCTGGCAAGGTAACCCAGACCCCTGATTATTGGGTTTAGGTTCAGTACTGCCCCCACCCAGTAACAGTCTGTATTAGGGGTCCCATTATAAGGGCGATATATAGCCATATTATAAACATTATCCAACTGTTACTGAGGGGTGGCAGTACCCAAGGTTTAGGGTTTAAGGTTTAGGGGTTTCAGGGTTTAGGGTCTAAAGTTTAGGGTATAGGGTTTAGGGTTTTGGGTCTAGAGTTTAGGGATTGGTCGATTATCGCGATTTCGGGTGAATGTAGACCCCTGATTAATAAACCCCGTCCCCTTAATAGGGATTATAATGGGGATCCTAATATCAAGGCCCTTCAAAGGAGGGGGTTTATTAATCGTGGGTCTACATTCTGCATGTTATGAGACACCAGTGTTATCTACAGTCCTCATGACCAGAGACTAGGACATAACCTGGCTGTAACTTAGGGTTTTCCCTACCCAGTTCTTAATCTCGAAGAAAGTGAAGAAAGGTCTCTGCAGTCTTGCGCCTGTCTAGTATGAAGGCAGGCGATTGATAAACGCGTTCGGCATCGTGAAACCCTAAACCCTAAACCCCAAACCCTAGACCCAAAACCTTAAACCGTGTGAACGAGCTCATGGTGGGAATGTCCAGTTGCAGTTGTCCATCCAACATCAGAACTTACCAGCCAACTGGGTTGCGCCTGAGTGTGGTTGGTAGAAGAAGGTGGCGAAGGCTAACCCTATCAAACCCAGTTTCTGTTGCATCTTCCACTTCTTGCTGCCCATTTGATTCTCCATTATTCTGGCCCTAATTAAACCCTAGATCTATATCCTCATAAATACCCTTTTGAAAGGGAGTTAAAGGTAATTTAAGCGCAGAACTTGCTCCGTAAACCATGAACCCGAAATACCTAAACCCTAAGTACCTAATCCCCAAATCATAAATACCTAAACCCTATAGAGACTTAAACCCTCCCGAATACCTAAACCCTAAATGCCTAAGCCCTAAACCTTCATTGCCAAACTACCTAAACACCAGAACCCCTTTGCATCAAAACCCTAAACCCCAAACCCTAAACACCTACATACCTAAGCCCTGAAACCCCCAAAAACCTATATACCTAGACCTAAACCCCTAAATACCTAAACCCCAATCTCCTAAGGCTGCTTTTGGTGACTTGAGGCTGTCAATTCAGGGTGCCTGGGGTCCTGTCCTCGATCGTAGGGGCTTCCGTAAGTCATTCTGGCTCAGGGTTTGGGGCCCCTAAACCCTAAACCCTAAACCCTAACCCCTTTGAGGTTCAGGTTTTAGGGCTTCGAGTTACTTAGTTTGAGTATTTAGGGTTCAGGGTTGGGGTATGTAGGGTTTAGGGTTGGGGTATTTAAATTTAGGGTTCAGGCTTTGGGGTCAGGCTTAGGGTTAGTGTAGGGCGCAGCCTACACCTTTAGAATCGTCGTTGACAGCAACCTTTAACTCCAAGATAGTGTGTATAAAGGCTATGTATTATCGCTATCTTGGAGCTCTGGCTGGATTTCAAGGCCCGAAACCAAGGTTCTAACCTGAGCCCCAGCATGCAAACAACATAGCCTGGGCTGCAATAGGTCCATTTAGGGTTTAGGGAAAGACCCGAACCCCCCCCAACAAAAACTCATGCCGTCATGTCATCCAAAGCCTTGAACCCTAGGCCCTAAACCTTAAACCCCAAACCCTAAACCATAGAGCCCGCATCCTTTTGGAATGCCACGAAAACTTATGTAACGCGGCCATAACGGCAGACTATGAAAACCTTTCAAAAAAGGACTGGGGCTCGAGTGAAGATCTTTACTCTTCGCCTATCGCCAATAAAGGTTCATGTACTGCATAATCCCGTCCCTTTGATGGATATATAGAATTCTGAGTTTACGGTGTAGAGTTTGGGGTCCATGTACTGAATAATTGAGTACGTGGGTATTTGGCTAAAAGTAATTCGAGAACAAGTTTTGGGTAAGTATATGATTCTTTGGTATTTGGACTTTCCTGGTGCATCGGCTGACGTATCGAGTTGTGAAGCTCCAACAAAACTACAACACAATGACAGAATTGCTCCTACGTCAAGCTAGAACGTTGACCTCACCCCTCCCTATTCGCCTAATATAATCCATGAAAAACAACCAAAAAAGGCCCTGCCTGGTCGCAGACCCTTATAACCCTGAGGGTCCAAGGAACCAAATAACGGGGCTTCGGGGCCCTAATGCTTTAATATTAATGGTATTTGGGCACTAACGCCCTGTTGTTTGGGTCCTTGGACTCTTAGGGTAATCGTTTTGGGTCCAGACAGCCGTAGATTCCTTATGGGCCATAGGATAGAACCCAAGCCCCTTAGTTTCGAGGCCCAAACCTCAGGGAATTTAGTAAGTCGGTTCTAAGGAGCCTCTAAAGAGGTTATAGGGTTATACAGGCATATATCTGGTTTAGGGTTCAGGGACTGTTGTAAATCGGTTAGAAATGTGCAAGCAAGTCATCTAATTGGGCTTACTCCGCTTATTAGTCCCCTGTGTAGCCTTCTTACCAGGCCTCCTGAGGCCCTAAGCATCTCTTTAATACCAGCATGCATTCTATCTTCCAATTTGTATGTTGCCTGTTGTTTTCCGATATACCCGAAGAAATCCCCTGAACTAATTAAACCCTAAGCAAAAGAACTAAACTCTGAACCTTAAATAGTATATATGAGTTCCTTTTTCTTTGCCGTTATCCCTGTATAACACCGTGTACAACCCCGCCCCAAACCCTGAACCCTAAGCCCATACAAACATAAGTTGCTGTTATCAACCTATCTGGGCCTTGGCGATCTCCTCTTCACTTTTGCCTTGCTTTCGGGCCTCGAGGATGCAGAGGGGTTGAAGTTTTATGGTTAAGGGTTTCGGATTATATAGGGTTATATAGAGATACTTTAGGGATTAAATGGGGACAACGGAAAAGAACATGGAAGCTACTATCTAGGAATTAGGGTGTAGCGTGTAGGTTTTCCAGGTGTAAGGTTTTCGCTTTAGTGTTAAGGTTTTAGGCTTCAGGGTGTAGGTTTCAAGGTTTAGGATTTAGGTGTTCAGGGTTTGGCGTTTGGGTAGTCCGCCGACCTTGGGGGGCGTGTTGGATGGCTTCAGCAAAAAACAGAGAGGGTGACAACCCTCTTGTTTGGGTGTTTGCCTCAGGGGCCCGGGACCCAAGCCCCTGGGGCCCGGGCCCGACATTTCTTGGGTGCCAAGGGGGTGCAGGGGTCCGGCACAATCCCGGCAACCTGGCTTGTTCTGGATTTCCTGCGCAGCCACTTAAAACAGCAAAGCTGTGGTCCCGGCAATCTAGCTTAAAGTAATCTTGTTAGGCAGAGGAGGTCCAAAGGCCTGGGTGTCAGGTGGGGGCTGCTCGAGCATGCTCATCAGGGGCCACCCCAAGCTAGGCTCATGAATGCCTGGACCCAACTCTTGCAGACCCTTCCTTCCCCTCATCTGTTACCCCAACCCCCCAAACCTGAAACTGTATAGTCCGTATATATATATATATACATATACCCATAAGTATATATACATATATCTATATGTAGATATATAATCCTCTAAGTTCGCTGAGCCCAAAGAGCCATACTTCGTCCCTCAAAAACCGTAAACCCTGCAAAAACCAAACATCTGTAAAACCCCTAAAACAAACCCCTCCAAAAAACACCCCAAACCTTGTAAACCCTAAAGGCCCCAATAAAACACATCCTAGAACTCTTTGCCACCTCGTCCTCAGCCTCCTTGGCTGCTTCTGCAGCCGCTGGGAGACCCCATTCGCCACCCTGACACAGTTCAGGGTTCAAGGGTCCAGAAATCTCTAGCTGGATAATGAAGCGTGTAAGGAGAGTATAAGGATATTGTGCCTGTAACTATACAAATAAAGGGATAGGGTTCAGGGTATCTGTGCAGTTTTGGCGATCTAGGATTTACTTCGAGGTTCATGGGTAATGAGAACCTACTTGTACTTGTACTTCTAACTGGACCCTGTGGGAACATGAATTTTGAAGTCAAGATTTCTGGCACAACTGGTTTACTGAAAAAGTTCTAGGGGTTAGGACCTTCGGCCCTATAGGACTCTGAGATTTCTGGGCTTGAGCTTAGGGGTGACAGTTATAGGCCAGGTTGGCCCCTAAAGCCATTTGAAGCAGGTTAGTATATATGGTCCCCTATTAAGGCCATTAAGGAAAATCTTAAATATGCCAGGGGCCTACCCAATAGGGTTTGGGGATGATGAGGGTTGGGGATTGAAGATTTACCGAGCTAAGCTTTCTGGTTTTAGGGCATAGGGATAGGGCTTTTGTTTGCATGCAGGACCGGCGTTCTGGGGACCAGGTAATTTGGGACTTTCCACCCTGGCAGCTCTACGACTGTGAATAACGCACAATATTTGACGACTTCTTGAAGATGTTAGGTAGCTTTACTCTGGGGTTGTCAGTTAAAAATCTGGCAAGCACCCTGACATCTGCAAACAATGCTTGGCCTGGGCTGTTTGGAGCCCTTGTTGAGAGGTTGGGTTTAGGCTTTTAGGTTGAGGGTCGAAGAGACTACTATCCACTGCAAGTCAGGGCATGCCCCCCATAACCTTGCACGCATTGTAAGACTAAGATTGAGATGCCATGCCCAAGCACAGGGTTCTAACTCAGGGTTTGCGGTTTAGGGTTTAAGGAACCAGTCAGGGGTTCAAAGAGATAGAGCATGATCCTACAGTAGTCTGTCTGCTTCACAGCTCTGCTGGATTCGCCGGGCATTTCTTTCCGGAGACCATTGGAGCACTTTATCGCGAAATATGATACTTTTCATGAATTGGGGGATATAGATCCTAAACCCTAAACCCTAAACCCTAAACCCCGACATGCAATACCCCTTGCTAAGAGGATCCCCGGGGATCCCTAATTGTCAAAATCCTTGTGTAATCGGGTTTAGGGTTTAGGGCTTAGGGTTTAGTCTCAGAACCCACTGCATAAGCCTAGTTGACTCCCCATTTAGGGGGATTATATCCCTAAACTCAGCAATTTCCATTTCATCTTGAATACTTGGCTATGTCTTAAAGCTGCATTCAGAGTGGACTTTCCTTATCCCAGGGTCCAAGTACCCAATAATTAGGACTCTTTAAAGGGACATATACATTTATATATGCACACATGTAGGATTGTATATAGAGTTGAGGCTTGAGGCCAAGTACCCAATAATTAGATACCTGGGCTTTGGGTAGTTGTTATTTAGCACAGGTATGATTATTCGGATTCGGCACTTGCAAACTTAGGTTATGTACGCTTTGTAGGACCTGATAAGGTGCTAGACTGATATGAGGTAGTGTAGACGTAGTTGGACGGGGAGATGGATACAGAGGTTCTTTCAGACTCCCCCTTGTTAGTCGCTATACCGCAGTTCCCATTTCCTACTGGGCGAAAGCTAATGATATGCTAAAACCCTCAACCCTAATGGTAGTTTCCATTATCTTTTCCATTATCCCAAAGCAATTTCTTTCTAATATCCCTAACTTTCCATTTCCTACCCTAAGCTCTAAATAGAAATTTCAATTTTCTTTTGCATGACCCCTATATATCCCTAAATATCCCCACATACCCCTATGTAAGCCCTATATAATCTGTATATATATCCCTATATAACCCCATGTATTCCTACATAACCCTATATATCCCTATATAATCCTCTATGTACCTAGGTTATCCTATGTGGATGCAACGGCCGCCTCCGCAGCAGCAGGTGCAGGGGCGGCCTTCATATCATCGACCAAACAGTTCATTGCACCGTGATGACAGAAGCCTAAGGGTCCATGAACCCAGCAATCATACACTTACCCAAAACCCGTACTATAATCACTATTACCCCCAATACCCAAGTTCCTAATTATTTGGGTCCTTGGACCCTTCGGGTAAGTGAGGTGTAGGTGGCAACCGATAAGTTCAGTGATAACCGATTCCTCGATACTTTTTATTCGAATTCCGGTAGTTGGTTGGGAGGGTAATCTGAAGCAGAGAAATTATTACGTGCCGCCAAACAGTGGGCACACAATCCTTTTTGCGTCAGTATGGGTGGGGTGCTTATGGTTTCAGTCGTCCTTCAGTCGGACCTGATTGAGGGCACTACATCGTAAAATCGACGCTATTAGCCCTTGGCCCTTAGCGCTCTTCTTCCTGGTTTTCGCAATATGTTGCCTCTTCATGGTAGCTTTCGAAACTGAGCGGAGAATGCTCATACCACTCAAAACCTCAAGCATTCAAGTGCCTAAATCGTTCATAAATTCGGCCCGAAATACCTGCATTGCGACCCATTCGGGTCCAAATTATCTACTATGCAGGAACTTGGCTCATGTGAGGTGCGAGCATGTAAGCTGACCTAGCAGACGGCGATTTTTTGGGCTAGAGCTGCAACAGCTCTAGGTAGGGTTGCAGGAGAATGCTTTGGGAAATAGGCTCTAAAGTGTAGTGTGCACCACCTTAGCAGTGTATGTGTAAGCCTATGGAGGAATTTAAGTAGATGCTGCACATGATGGACGCAGGAAGTCTTCATATGATTTTGGCAACCCAACCCCCAAAATTGGGACCCTATGATGATCACACAATAGTCATAGGGTCCTAGTTTTAAGGGTTGGGGTCATCGAAATCGTCCCATTGAAGCAGTGTGGTTCCAGGTCTGGGCTTCTGGTATCAAAGCCATGGACTTCCGGCTTAAGGAGTGCGTCCAAAATGAGGCTTCGTAAGACCATGGTATTGTAGACCCATGATTAATAATTCCCCTCTCCGTAGGGCACAAGGAAAAACAGAACTGTGGCTATCTCCGAAAGCATTGGTGCTTTTAGCGCAAGCACAGGCAGTTATCACGTTATCACTGCCACAAGAAGGCCAATTGCCTGAGTCCTGGCAGTATCCCCTTGGCCCCTTGATTGGTCCGCAAAATTGAATATTCAAGTTTGTACATGGGGTAGTTGCCCAAAATTAGGATGCCCCTTACATACCCAAATATACTATAACGAACCCCTATTATTATGGGACCCCCAAAATGGTACCTGGGAAGCCCGAACCCTACAAATCCTTCTATAACTGTCTATAACCCCTATATTACCCCTACATATTCACTATACCTAATCTATCCTACTTTTGGGAACTACCCACGGGTTGTTCGGCTTGTCGACCATGCTTGTTATGTCTGCCCCGCCCATCTGCCTTGCAAGCGGAAGCCGTGCTTGTTTCGGGTTTAGGGCTCAGGGCTTACCTGGACCCTCCAATGTGGTTACATTTTGGGTTTGTTATGGTTTTTGGGTTAGGACTCTTACTAGGACTACCAAAAATGTACTACATTGGAGGGGCTAGGTAGGGCTTAGGGTTTAGGGCTTAGGGTTTGGGGCCTAGGGCTCAGGGTTTGGGGTTGAGGCTATCAAGAACCGCGATTACTCATGGAAGCTCCAGTCCGCGGCTTTTCAGAAGAATCCGAAGTCGGTAACCAAACGCGGCAGACCCTTTAAAAACAGGCCCCTCTTCCCGTATATTTGTTGCTGGAGTCCTTCTGCCATGGGTCGCTTCTGTTTCTGATTCTCTTTCGAGCGCCCTCTTCGAGTAAATTGAAAATGGCGCCCTCAATGGAATCCAAGGGGTGCAAACTCGTTGTACTTAGACCCTTTAAGGGAAGGTTCAATCAACAAACCCTAAACTCTGAAGCCTACACACCACACCGTAAACCCTAAACCACGAAATCTTGAATCCTAAACCCTGAACCCTCCAGAAAATCTGAACCCTAAAACCTACTTGTAGGTCCATCTACTTCTGCCCGATTTACAACAGTACTTATAAACCCACTATAGCCATGTTATGTGACTTCGGGGTCTTCCTAGAAGTACAATAAACAAACAGTTAAGATTGCACATGGAACTCCAAGTAATGAAGCCTCGGGCTTGGGACAGCACCGGCAGCCGGTGCTCAGAAGTTTCAGGGCCTACTTGGAGGGGCGTGCTGCTTATAATCTGGATAATAAGTGTTCATAACAATCTACGTCTACGAATAGTCTAGAAGTGGTACCTACTCTGGCCTGGATACTACGCTAAGAGTCCAAGTATCGAAATGACAGGGCTTCTGAGCCCTCATACTACAGTTAATCTGTATGGTCTTTGGTACCTAACAACCTGGTATTTTGGCACCTCGACCCTTGGGTTAACTGTACCTAAGCCTTGTCACCATGGAAGTGTGGTACAAACTAGATATCAGCAACACGTCCCTCCAAGTAGCCCTGGTACGGTGGAAATGTTGCACAACCCGAACCCCTAAACCCCAAACCCCTAAACCCCCTAAAACCCTAAACCTCTAAACCCTAAACCCTAAACTTCAAAACCCCTAACCCCTAAACCTCATGTTAGTTATGGTACATTAATGGTAGGGTTCAGGGTTTAGGATGCAGGCTTTCTTGCATGCACTGTGTGACCCCGAATCGAAGGGGCCTACCCGGCTGAGGACAGCCCGGGACCCTATTGGTTTAGGGTTTAGGGTTTAGGGGTTTAGGGTTTAGGGGTTTAGGGTTTAGGGGTTTAGGGTTTAGGGTTTACCCAGAGGGTCTTCAATGGCCTAAGCCAGAGGGTCCAAGTACCCGAGGATATAGGGGGTTTAGGGTTTAGGGTCCAACTACCCAATGATTAGGTGTTTGGGTTTTGGGTAAGAGTATTTATAATACAGCTTTTGGGTAAGTATATGATTATTAGATACTCTGACCGTTAGGGGTCTAACACCAGTTTCCATGTTATTTTCCGTTTTCTTTTAACATTTGGCTATCTATCAGCACGTACCCAAAAACCTTAAGCTAACATGGTTTTCCAGGGAACGCATGCAAAGCAACACAACCTCGAGAAAGTGAGCCGTGAGGGGTTTGGGGGTGAGGGTCTTGAACCCAGAGGGTTCAAGTAACTCTGGATTCAAATAGCCAAGAATTGGGGCCCCTACACAGGGGTTATAAGGCTATGTATAGGGATAGATAGAATAATGCAGAGTTAAGGGTCCAAGTACCCACGAATTAGGCATGTGGGATTTGGCAAATCTAGTTTTGGTATAGGAATTGGGTAAATGCACATTTTGCAGTTTCTGGCAAATTTTGTGTTTATTATATACTGTTATTGTTGACACAAAACAGGTGAAGCTTATTCTTTGCATGGACTTTGGGAGTCAGATTCTTGAAGGGTATGCACGTAAGACATCAGCCACGACAATACCGATTTCTGCTTCCCTTCTATGAAGAGGGGTATGTGCCTGGTGCTCTTCTTGCATGCATTCAGGGGCAAGGAAACCCTAAACCCTAAACCCTAAACCGGAAGTCGGGGGCGCAAGGGCAGCCCAAGACGCTTTGCTAAGCACTAATCGTCTTCACGCATGTGCTCAATTGATTTGAAACCTCCTGGACCGCAAGCCCTGATTATGAATTAGGATGCAACCTCCCTTGATCCCTGATGACCTGCCGTATGCTTTAAACCTTTTGCTTCATCTATTGTTGTTATTTTGATTTTCTGGTATCGCTAATATTGGTGCTACGTTTATTTGTACTGCTATGTTTTCAGTACCATGCCATGTATCCAATTGTGGCTATAATCCTTCTCTACCACGTATAATGAATACACAGAAAACACAACAAGGCAGTTAACAAAGCTTGTATGTGCTTCAGCTAGGGTCAAGGGATTTGGGGGTTCAAGGTTTAGCGTCTCGGGGGTTTAGGGGTTAGGCATTGGGGTTTAAGTTTAGGGGCTTGTATGTGCTTCACCCCGAGAAGGGAGTAGAGAGAGAGAGAGAGCGAGAAAAAAAAAGCTTCCCTCTAGGGTTTAGGGTTTAGGGCCTGCACCCTGGCCCTAAACCCTGAACCCCAAATCCTAAACCCCTAAACCCTTAAACCACTAAACCCCAAATAAGCCATTGAAGCCCCACAGTTTATCCTTAATTGTCCAGGTACTCACATTCACGGATCAATACTTATCTTCATAGACTCTTCGGCCCAGAAGCAATCTAAACCCTACGTAAACCCGAAGTCACCTGTTTGGGTGCCTCTATTAAACTGAATCTGGTTCTCTTGCAATGTGCAAGGTTTAGGGCTTCAGTAAAACATGTACTAAACAGCGATTGTCAACCATGCTCTGAGGTAATATCTTGGGGGCGGCAAGCTCCGAACTTGAAGGATTACGTCAGATGCCCTAAACCCTAAACCCTAGGTTCCTGCCTCGCCAACGCCGACGCCACTGAAGATCTTTTCCTCAGCTCCCAGAAAGGCCAGTATCCCTAAACCCTAAACCCTAAAACCCTAAACCCTCAACCCTAAACCCTCAACCCTAAACCGTTAGGAACTTTAGGGTCTAGGGCTTAAGGATCCCACCCTAAGAGTCCAAGTATCCAATAACTGGTTACTTGGGGTTTGGGGATTAGTAATGGTAGTATAGGCTTTGGGTAGGTATATGAGCCATTGTCTAATCTCCTAGTATCCCTCTTAATAAGCCCTACAGTGGTCCCTATATAGTCCCCTATATAACCTCCTTTAAGGAGTTTAGACTATGGCACATATGACTATTAGGTACTTGGATTCTTAGGGCCAAAAGGAATTTTGGGGCAATGCTCGAAAACCTCTACCAACCCTACAGAGCACCACAGGTGCCAATTGATCGGGTTTAGGGTTTAGGGTGTAGGCCTTAGGCGTCAGGATTTTACATTTCTGATATCCTCGTTGATACCCCGGGTTTGCCGTCAAGCCTGCGAAGCACGAACCTAGATTTTAGGGTTTAGGTTAAATGGTAGTTTCCCAAAATAGGGGGACCCCAATATAGACCCTAATATACTATAATCCTTATTATGGGGACCCCAAAAGGGCACCCCTAATTTTGGGAAACTTCCAAATCCAAAATCTTACTCAGAGGATTGAAGCCCCAGACCCAAACCCCTAAACCGTAAGCCCCTAAAGCCCTCAACCCAAAATCCCAAACCCTACGTAGCTCTTGCTTGCAACCATCTACCCAGACTCAGAATCATACCCTGTAGACACCATATTTTGGTGTCAACAAGTGTTTGGGAGGTCTCGGTATATTCTGGTTAAACAGAACCTTACTCCTGAACAATGACAGAGTATTTGGGAGATCTGGGAAAGGTTGACTCCCCACTGCCCACCCCGTAATAGTGACTATGAGGGATACTAGCGATTACATTAGGGAATCCTCGCATATTCCTATTATATCAAAATTACCGGCTGGGGAGGGTCCTCCAAAGATCCAGGTAAGTAAGCAGGCGCACGAGATCAAGCATCTTCGCCCATATAAAGCCCTCTAGAGACCATTTTAAGGAATATAGACTATGGCTCATGTAGGTATAGCTTTAGGGCCTAGGGCTTAGGGTTTAGCGTTTAGGGATACACAGGTTCCCACGTAAGTACCTTGGCTGGGCCTAAATATCTAATTACTTGGGGTTTGGGTAATAGTGGTTTAGTACAGGTTTTGGGCAAGTATATGACTATTTTGTACTTGGACCCTCAAGGGTTCAGCACCACCCCCCACTATCCAAGAACAGTAGCAAACACCACTAGGACCAAAAAAAGGGTGAGCAGAAGAACAAACACAGCAACCGAAGCAGGATCCTCAATAAATACTGCGGAAGGCGGAAATCACTCACCACGCTTCAGGGTCCAGACCCTATGAATTACAGTCTTGTGCCGTGTCTAGGTGGTGAAGGTGCGCTCCACCCCCGCCTATCCTTACATAAACCCTATATAACCTCTTCTGGTAGTTTCCAGCTTCTTTTCCATTATCTCCATATAACCCTAATGTAATATGACCCTAATATTACCAAACCTTAAGCCCTAAACCCTGGACCCTAAAACCTACACGCTAAAATCCGAAAACACTTACACCCTAAATCTAAAAAAACATACTCCAAAGCCATTAAAACCTTAAAACCCTAAAACCCTCAACCCTAGGGGGGAACCTAGCGGGAGGTCCAGTACCGAACTCTGTGCAAGAAAGCTGCGTACTCGGCCTCGGCCATCTTCATGGCATCGCGAGCTGTAAGGTTCCTTTCAGGAATTCAGACAGTTTAGGGTTTAGGGTTTACGTAGGTCTTAGGGTTAAGGGATGCTCCAGATTTTTTAAATATCGGGTGGACGGAAGATATCTTGCACCCCCCCCCAAACTCTATCTTGTAGTGCGGGTATATGAGGTGCTGCAAGATTTCCTCAGTCCACAGGGGCCCTTTTATAGATCACAGTCCTTTAGAAAGAGGCTTCTATGGGTTACATGATAATTTGGGAAAGGATAGCACCGGAGGAACAGAGATGCAGTCTGGGCTGGAACCCTTTGCTAAGACAAATCCCCACTTGGGTCGTTGTTGAAAATGAGTCTGTCAGCTTTAGTGCTCAGAATGAAGAAGCCCAAGAAGGATTGTTAAGTTATAAAGGTTTCATAGTAGCACAATCAATCTAGAACCAGCCATCATTCTGAGCCAAACAGCTGTCTGCACTGCAGGGACGTCTTATGGTCTTATGGTTCACGTCACCCGCCTTAAGCCCTCAGAAGCAAATTGCCCAGAGTATGTATACACTGCTTATGAAGCGTTAACAGACGGACAGGCAAGGCACTGTTGGGTGCTTAGGACTGAGTACTTAGGGTTTAAGGTTTTAGTGTGAATACCATGGCACTTAGCACCATTACTAAAAGTGAACATGTTGGGGCCTGTAGTATGAACGTATGGGAAGCCCAAACGTTCAAGGGTCTCAGGTTCTAAGTGTCAAGGAGACGATACGGAGTAGTTGGAGGAGCAAGGTTTGTGCTTAACAACATGAAGCACATCTCACCGCCACACAGCACACCCTACTTGAAAGCATGCATCGTTAGCATAAGACTGCTCTGCACTGCAAGTCCTAAAGCATCACATCCAACATTGAACACTTTGAGTAAACCCTAAACCCCTGAGAATCCAGGTACTGCAGTCTGGTTGCGCGTCTGCCTTTCTGAGCTCACGCATCTTGGTGGCAAGCCACCTGGAATTATTCTGCGTTTGAGCTAAATTCCTCAAAAGGGGTTATATAGGGGAGTATTGTAGGGGTTATTAACGGGGGATACTAGGAGTTTAGGTTATGGCTCATTCAGGTACTGGTGGCTTATACCCTAAACCCTGAATCGGTACCGCGGACTCCTAAACCCTAAACCCTAAACCCTGAACCCTAAACCCTAAACCCTGAACCCTAAACCCTAAACCCTAAACCCTGAACCCTAAACCCTAAACCCTAGGGACTGGTGTGTTTAAAAAAGAAGTTCCAGGCTGTAGGATGGGCCCAAGATTCTGCAAGCCAATCTGTGTTATGTAACTGTTGACAATAGGGATTATGCATATATGGTTTAGGGTTCAGGGTTTAGGGTTTAAGGGTTTAAGGGTTTAGGGTTTAACATACATATGTATTTGTATATGTAGAGATAGATAATAAGGATTACATAGGGGGCTCTGTTCCCGCATTCCCTACTAAGAACCAGTAAGTTTAAGTCATGCTCTTGCAAGCCCCAAGGACAAGTACAATAGTCAACAAGTGCACGCCAAAGAGGCGCCGACCAATTCTGGCACATGAGCGTGTAGACCGAGTTTAATGTTTGAGCGCTTCAAACTTAAATCACGAGTACAAAGATACCTTAACCACATGAAGTTTGCATAGCGTAGCATGCAGCAACACGTTTCAAAGATGACTGTGGCGTGAACTGACCCTAAGGGTCCAAGTACCTAATAGTCACATACTTACCCAAAACCTGTACTAGAATTACTAGTACCTATATCCCAAGTACCTACTTATGGGGTACAGGGACCCTCAGGGTGAAGGCTCCCGACCGGCTATAACTTGTCTGAGCTGCGCATTCTTCGCATTGTCTTCTTCCTGGCATCAGAAAGAAAAGTGGCGCTAAACTATGTTATGGACATCTCCACACCTGCGGATGTATGGGGGGTTTCTGCGAAATCCTGGGTCCCTGCATCATCTGAATTCTGACCGGGCTCTGCGAACCCAATCTCTCCTTGCCGAATGCCCAAGCTTGAAGCTGACCTCATCTTCCTACTGGAGGCAACGGGAAGTGGGCGAGTGAATATAGGTACCATCAAAGGGGTATAGATCGGGATTGTATAGGGAGTATCATAGGGATTCACTCACCCACTCCCCCTTAAGCAGCAGTAAGTCTTCGGATGTTGAAGAAGCATATTTTCATGTTTTTGGAAAATCTGTACTGTATGAACACTAAGACCCCTCCTAGACCTCGAAACGCTGTACATTTTTTGGCGGTTCAGACATGGAAGGGATCCGTACCCTTTCCATGCAGCATACCCTTTACAAGCCTGTGCCCCGCAAATTGTGTTATCTCTACCTTGTGAAGCGTCACTCCAGACTCGCTATCTTTCGAACCCTAAACCCCAAGCCCCTAGCCAGTCCTGCTTCCTCTTTCGCTCCTTTTTAGCCTTCTTGTTGTCAGAGCTGGAGGAATCGGACGAAGACGCCTTTTTCTTCTTTTTCTTATCCTTCTTGCCTTTCCTTATTCTGGCAATGTCAGTTGCACAAATGTTTTCTTGCCCTGTGGTGTGTTAAATATGCCGTTGCTTACACTCGGGCAATACTGACACGCGGCCGCATGTCGTCCAAATACGCAGCAATGAACCCAATGATTGAACAAACTCTTACCCTAAGGGTCCATGTACCCAATAATTAGGTACTTGGGTTTTGGGGAATAGTAATTATAGTACAGATTTTGGGTAAGTATATGATTATTGGGTACTTGGACCCTTTAGGTTATGGGGGGCATGTCAAGACTTCGTGCTGGGAATTTCCTTAAACTTGGCATCGATTCCCTTCCCAGAGCTCCTTTGTGTGGATGCCACTTCTCCCAGTGACAGATACAATCCTTGACCTTAAAGGGATACTGCTCATTGACAAGTTGCGCATCACATCTAGGTTCCTAGACACTCATAATTACGGTAGCCTACCATACTTGGTGTCAAGCAGGGTTGCCTTTTTCAGTAAATAGGGCCGTCACAATCTAGACACCAACTATCCATAATCCGTATCATATGCACTGCAAAAAATGGGGCTCTGAATCTTGGAAACCTTACTCTAGAAATCCCTGTTTATCCATCCTTTTATCTCCTTACACAGCCCCGTATATCCCGCATTCTCTTCTTTAGCTGGCCCTTCCAATGGGAAAAAAAAGCAGTTGAAAACCCCATATGACAACCCACGGACCATGGCACACATATTCTTCCCGAACAGGATTTTCGTGTCAGTTGAAAATACTAGTCAGTGGAGGTGGCCAGGAGCCTCAACCCAAAGCTGGATCCCTCAGGATCCAAGTACCTACCCACAACCTCTATTAAAATTACTACTACCCAAACACCAAGTACCCAATTTTTCAGTACGTGGACACTGAACCCTTCACCCAAAACAAGCCCTAAACCCTAAACTCTACATACGGAAGCTTTCCTCAGTACGTAAAATGGACAAAGTATACGGGCTGCCACCTTCAAAGGGGTTTATCGGGTTACATGAGGTTTATATGCGGGTTCTATAACCCTGCGCATCCGAGTCCCTGTTTTTTAAGGTCTTATGTAAGACCATATTGAGGAGGGTCTTGGGTTGTATGGTTCTACAAACAAGGTCTTAAGGTTTTATAAGTGGGAACATGGTCAGTGCATGCAGGTGTGTCTCATGTTTGCCTCTGGCCTCAAAGTGAACTTTTAGTAGATCCCAAGTTGTCCAGAATCCATTCAAATGATATGTGTAAAGATCCAGATACTCAACTGACAATGCCAAGCACAGCAGGGATCAGTGTCAGACACTGGCATGCAGTTGAGTGACATTCACCATAGGGCTTGCTGGCCTTCAAATTGTTATAGCATAGGGGTAATAAGACGACCGTGTCATGGGGCTTCTTGGCCGAGCAGCGTTGCTTGGTCGTTTGCGCACACGTGCCCCTGCTACTGTGTGCGGCTGCAAGTTTGTGTGTGCTCCTGACTTGAGCATGTTGCACTTGGCAGCTGTGAGTGGGAGCCAATTTTGTTGTTTCAAGTGCGCAGAAGC